CTTGCTGCGGCCTGACCGACCTGGATGGCATTGGCTCCTTCCTGGCCCTGAAGGTGGGTCTTTGGCGCCCTGGGCTGGGGAGAGGGTGCCCGACCAAGCCCCGGCTGAGCTCCCTGCCGCCCTAGGAACTCTACGTCTCCTACAACAACGTCTCAGACCTGAGCCCGCTGTGCCTGCTGGAGCAGCTGGAGGTGCTGGACCTGGAGGGCAATAGTGTGGAGGACCTGGGGCAGGTGTGCTACCTGCGGCTGTGCCCGAGGCTGGCCACGCTCACCCTGGAGGGCAACCCGGTGTGCCTGCGGCCGGGGCCCAGCCCTTCCAACAAGGTGTGTGTCTGGGCCCCCAGCAGCACGTGCACCGGAGGGGGAGGCACTCTGGGGTCCCCCGCGGTCCCAGCGGCCTCTCTGCCCACCTGAGCACAGGCCATGTCCAGGCTGGGCAACAGGGGCAACCCCAGGGCCCGTCCCCAGGGCACAGCCCGCCTGCACGAGGAACTTGCCCACCATAATAACGCTCATCCTCTTGTATCGCTGGGGACCCTCTGGGCCCCAACCAGACCCCACAGAACCCCCAGCCCATAACACAGCCCTGTGGGGTCTGCTCAGGCAGCACACGGACTCACGCACGTGCACGCGCACACACGCACACACGCAGGCCCGAGCCCTCTCCATCCCCGCAGGCCTGGGCGTGCCCTCGGTGGGAATGCACTCACACACTGTGGGCTCGCGCACACCCTCCGCAGCCGTACCCCCAGCACTGCCCATGCACACCCGGCTCTCACGCTTCCTGCCCTAAGAGGCGCGGCGCCCGTGTGCAGTGGCTGCCCAGCTGGGCCGCAGCTCTGAGCTCAGGGCAGTCCCACGGGCCAGAGGACACCACTGGGCCCTGGCTGTGAGCCTGGAGAGTGAGCTCTCATGCGGGAGAGAGCCCAGGGTCCCCAGAGTCCCTGCTGGCTCAGAGTGACCCAGGCCAGCCCGGCAGGGTGGGGCGGCATCACCACCCTCAGCTCCCCTGCCTTGCCCACAGAGGGCCTGGAGAAAGCCCCACAGGACAGAGCTGGCCTGAAGGGCCCCCCGGACCCAGTCCTGCCACACCCTCCACCCCGCAGGTGCTCCGGGGCTACAACTACCGGACGGAGGTGCGGAAGCAAATTCCCCAGCTGCAGGTCCTGGACGAGGTCCCGGCTGCGCACACAGGCCGGCCGGCCTCCCGGAAGCCAGGCCAGGACTGGCTCATGGTGAAGGAGGCCATCAAGGAGGGCAGTGTCCTGGATGGCCTGCTCCCTGGGCTGGGTACGGCAGCCACTCACCAGCCCTCTGGCAAGGGCTGCCTCACCCAGCCTGGACCCCTCACTGGCTGAGCTCCAGAAGAGGTTGCCAGCCCCCACCATCCCCAGGGAGAGAGCTCTATACCCCCAGCACCCCCCAGGCCTCATAGAGATGGATAGCCACATCTCATATCCCTTCTTGGCCTTACCCTTTTGTTCCAAGAGCCCTGCACGCTCACCCGCAGGCCAGGAGAACCTCCCCATGGGCAGCGCCTGGCGGGGCACAGAAGTCCAGACGAGAGACGTTGGGTGGCAGGGGTCCCTGGTCTGTGGACAGTTCTGGCGGGGGGTGGGACTCTTGGGCTGGCCAGCTGGTGTGGGTTTCCATGACCTCTGATTTTGACCCTCGGGCAGATTGTCCCCATGGAGCCCCCATTCAGAGACTCAGCTCCGAGCTCTCCTTGCCTGAGACCCAGCCATGGACCCCCAGGCCATGGCCGCTCTCCCTACTGGTCAGTGGGGGTCCCCCGCGTGAAAGCCTGCTTCCCAAGGACCCAGCTCCAGAGGGGGACACAAGCAACCTCACCCATGGTAAGGAACGCATCTTAGCACGAAGCTGACCCTGTAGCCCTCAACCCCAAAGCAGACCTGGCCACACCCTCTTCTGCAGGGGCTAGTCGAGTCCTCTGCGGGAACCCCACCAAAGGCCTGTGGGAGCGTCGGCACCAGTGCCAGGTAGGCCTGCTACCCACAGCTGGGTCAGGACTCCAGGACATCCGCAGGGGACCGGTATCCCAACCTGACAGTCCCCTGCCCCACAGCCACTGCCGGCCAGAGGCTCCGGCTCTCTCACAGCAGCCAGAGCAGCCCTTGTCTTCAGGGGATTCCCCGCCCAGCCCCCTTGAAGGCTGTGACCCAAGCCAGCCCTTCTGTCTTCAGGGGATTCCCGCT